TGCTGGAACGCGTGGATCATCAAGTCGAATACCTGCAGGAGGAACGTGAACGAACGCGTATTCGGCACGAAGAAGAGGTAGAAAGGTACCGTGACCGCATTGATACCTTGGAAGAAGAGGTGATGTACCAGAAAGCACTACTTGACGTCACGAGCGAAGACGTAGATCGGCTGGAGGTGGAGACGGTGAAGCAGAAGGAGAACATCAAAGCGATCTTGGAGTACGCACATGGAGACGCCGTAGAGAGACAAATATGCATCGAAGAACTGAAAGATCGTATCATTCAGGTCATTGATCACCCCAATGTGTAACATCTCCTTCATCGACACGATTATCTCAAGTTTAGCTTCATTTTACAGTACAGATAGGCCACATGATTCATCACGACATGATCAGATTCGTTCGTTTGTTCTACATCGCGGTTACACATTGACACATGATCTTGAGTTGCATTTTAATATTCGAATCCTTACTCACTACATTGCTGAACCGTACTTCCCCTTGGACAGTCTCAATCCATTATATCGTATTTTACAACCAACCGTCGTGCAGACGACGACATTTCCTCGTTGGAAGCTAGCAAATCCTTTAGGACTCATATATCAGAGGATGAAGACGGTCAAACAACGACGTACAAGATATGTATCGAGTTCGTTTCTCTGTCCGTCATCACCTCTGATTGATGTGATGATGAGATGGAAATGACTTGCCTGCGCTGCGTTTCCAATGTCCAGATAAAACTTCAAACCAATCCACAATAGAGCTGTGGTAGATGGTCGCTCGCTTGCAGGAGATCATCGACAAGCTCGGTGGTCACACCGTACGGGTATGCTTGTTAAGTCCTGGTGGATGTTTAAAACATAACTTACCGGAGCTGCCCAGACAGACGGTTTTGTGGTCTTCGTGCTCTTCTTCTTCACCTGCCGGCTGTCGTATTCAGTGACAGGGACCCATTCGCGAGGTTTGTGCCAATGCCCAGTATCGCCTTTTCTCGCTCTCACGCACTCCCATCTTTGAGGTTCTTAAACGAGGCCGTGTGTGACCAAGGGGAACCAACAATCATCCCTGTAGGACGGGTGCCGGACGTCTGACATGGGAAAAACAACTTCTCAAACCAAGGCAGCGCCCAAGTATTGCAGATGGTATGTGCTCGGTACACAGTGGTGTTGCAGTCAAGACTTACCCTTGCACAACTATCTTCCAGCTATTCGTCAGTCGACGGTGTGAGAGTAACTCACTTGAGGAACGATCGAGCATTACGGTCGTCTAACCAGAGGTCTGTGTAAATTCAATGCGCACTGCCAAAGCTGGTGCACACCTGTCCGCGTCCCTATCTCGCAGGCACTATGCATCAGGTGTTTACCAACAGGTAGCCGAGAGGAAAAGTGGGGTGGCGAGGAAGGAAGATGCTGGTGCTCGCGCACAGCTGTTTCAATGAAGACCCTTACCCCCGTTGACCGTCCGTGTCAGTTTCATTGAGCTCCCAGCTGTCGAGGCTCAGACGTTTGACGCAGTACCTGCAATCACTTTAGATACTAGGCTAGACCACACTTCAGGAATATATATTGCCAGGATGATCAGTGATATAACAGTGGAGAAAAACCAAGCGAAATGAAAATAACGATACATCGATATAAATTACCACAGATCTGCATCAAACCGCTCGAGGACAGAATTCGCATCTTCCACATCCTTTTGTGCCTTCTTCCGCATGTAGAATATCGGGCAGTCCTTGCTCGAATATTGCACATCCTATCGACCACAGTGTCAATGACAGTCGAAGCAACACAGATATAACCACACTTGATACAAAGAGCGCTGAAAATGTTGGCATTGCGTCCACTGTCGCGAGAACCGCACTTGCAGCTGCGACGCGCTTATGATTTGCTTTGATATCGCTCCCCGATCGTTGGTTGACAGTTATTGCACACGGCACCATCTGCAGCAGTGGCGGCAGTGAGATAGGGCCAGACGTTTGCTTGTTTGGGCTTACGTTTTACATTGCTATTCGACAGTAACGGAGGTTTGCACGCAAGGCATGTTACCGTCTTCGCTGTGAACTTCATCAGACCGCCAACTGTTGGAGTTGCGATCTGGATTGACCTGGTGTGCGCGCCAGATACTGGGGAACATATCAACAGACGACATTCACAGCGAATGAAGCAACATACACAACGATGCTGCCTTCTAACCCAGGATTGGTTCAAACATTCTCACAAGAGGATCTGAGAACTGCGTTTCGAGATAATATTTAGTATCGATGGGAATGCTATTCTCCAAAACATAAAGGGCATCCTCGGATTTTTCGTATGCAGCAGCACCTATTCTTCCACAAGTCAGCATAGAGCCATGATACTTGACGCGGAATGTGACCTTCAATGCCCTTGACAATAACGTAGGTGACACGGCCACGCAAGGCCGGTGCGGAACCTGACCATGGATATCAGGACATAACCAGGTAACCACATCAGTCACAAACCTGCGTCACGTTGCCGCATGCGCTCTGCCAACTCCACATGCGCTTGCTTCGCAGCATAATCTGCGGACATTAGAATGCCAGCCCATTCTCGTTCAAAATTCACATACCAGCTATGGCCGGAGCCTTTGCAATCACCAGTTGGGACATATCGACCTTATTTTGCAGACCATCTGATATGATGCGCTTTGTGTACCTGGGATGGCTGGTTCAGCAACCAAACGAGCAAAAGTGTGTACTTACTCCTCAGCTCCTCTGACGTCTCGATTACCGTAGATACTTGCTGACAGTTGTCTCTCCGGACCGTCTAGATTCCTTAATTCAGTATATCCACGGTAAACTATTGAAGATGAAGACAAACTTCGATCCTCTTTGAGTTCATCTTGCCCCATTCGTCTGGCTTGTCCAGCAACGTCCAGCGTACCGCTTCTTGCTGATGAGAAGATACGGGTAATAAAATTTCTCGAATTCGAGCTCAATAGGTCTGACAGATTTCGCCGTCGCAAAATCTGCCGCCTCCGCTCCTGTAGATTGCTGGTTGGTACGAGCAGAGAGTCATGATCCTTTCCAGTTCTGCAGGCCCAAACCTGACCATGACAGAGTCAGTATCACCATAAATTACTTCAGCATTATCAGCGTGTCCATTATAAATGGAGAATTATGCTTCAACGTCCTACAAATGGTTATTGGTCGGGTGTTCACTGGCGGACAGACTACGACTTACCTACTTAGTTTTCGCGATCATCTGACGCCAATATGCTGCCACACTGCAGGAGATAGGAAGGCAGGGTAATGTTCCAATCGTCGCACCAGTGAACTCATAAGGAGAGTTGGCACTGGTCTGCAATTGAATGAGGTCAGATAGGGTCGCCGTACCAGCTGAATGCAAAGCACCTTCAGAGCAAGCTGACGACCGTCCAAGACTGCACGCTTGGATGGATCGGTCACCTTCTTGAGATCTGCCTTCGCACGCGTACCAGCAGAGATCAAATCTTCCAAGAAAGTAGGTCGTAGACCATTTCGTTTTGCCGTAGTAGCGAAAAATTCTAACCAGAAGCATTAGCCGACTGATCTGCAAACTACATATCCAACAGCTCTAACATACCGTTATTGGGGGTTTGGATATATTCAACGTCCTTGACAAGCTGCATGCGATCAATGGTATTCATTTCGATGAGCGTCGTATAACACAAATTATGTACCATCGTGATGGACGGATACAAATAGCTCATATCAAGAGTTGCAATTGGTGTGTCGTGGTAGCCTTTCCTCGGCTCGATGACAGTGGCACCTTCGTATTGCTCATCAGAACCCTCGCCCTTCAAAGCAGGGATGATATATCTCTCTTGATTAGCCTCGTGAAATAGCTGGGAAAGCACCTTAATGGACTGGCCATTGGAAAGGAGGTAGTTGAAGGGAATGCCCGTGACATGTGTCATTTCAGTGTAGTTGATGAAGCACATAAGTTTGTCCCGCAGTCACTGAGGGAGATATACATCCTGTAGCAACTATAAGAACGACAAAGACGACGCAAAAAGGACTCGATCACCTTTAAACAGCAGACGGCCAGCCGACGTCTGGACTCTGGGGTACCATGTTGCAATTCTGTGATAACGGAGTGGTTCATATTCTCCTGTGGCTCACCAAGGAACTGTGCACAGACAGTGTTGAAGGTATAACTACGTAACTTGTGTTCACGTTGCATAAATTGCAGGACGTCGAGTTGTAGCCGATCTTCTAGCTCTGTATCTTTGGAATCACGCTGCTCGTATGCCTTCGAAGAGAAATGCGTCTCCTTCGTCTCAGTTTTGGAACCTTTAACACAACATCAGTATGATCTTATCACAGCAAACAGAAATGCGCACCATTCATGCGACCAAGAAAAGGGAACTTATTTGCCTTGAGATGCTGTGCTCGATCCATGAGATATGGAAAATCGAATTTTGCAATGTTGTACTCGTTGACAAGATCCTGGTCAACCTCTGCAATATGGACAGCTGCTCAAGCCAAGGCAGCGCCCAAGTGTTTCAGATGGTATGTGCTCGGTACATAGTGGTGTTGCAGTCAAAACTGACCCTTACACAACTATATTCGCGCTATTCGTCAGTTTAGCGAGTGAGAGCACTTCAAATCATGAGTGTACCCAATCGTCGACATCCTCACTACCGCTGAATCTCGCATTTCAACAGCAAACGTCTTTACTATCAGCCGTCGAATGTCCACGGCCAGCGTGAATAATACTGCCAGTAGTCTTTCCAACTCGAGCTCTGTGCGATCTCAAGGTCAATGCCAGCTACTAAGTCTGCCAAGTATGTCAATGTGGCACGTCCAACCTGACCTCAACACAAGCTGTCTGATGCCTTTGAAAGCAAGTGCGGTCACCATTCATTGACAGTGGACGCTTATCCAGCAATAAATAGCTGTGGCGTTGGAACGCGGGTATAAGTGATAATTTGTTTTACATTGTTTGCCCATACAGATAGCCATCAATTGATTCGATCACAATCGTCTGATATTGTCAATGATGGCTGTCAACATTCCCCTCGAGCTTGTAATGAAGATTTTCACTCTCGCCACTCATAGACGAGAGGAAGCAGCATCCTGGATTTGTATTTCCAAAAGGACCTACATCTTGTGAGCGTTCGATGCCATGTTCAATCCTTTCCCTCTCTACTTATCCTTTACATACAGGTTCGAACGATTATTGTATAATAAGGTCGTCTTGAAAGATGAAGACCACGCATTCAGATTCCTGGAATGCTACCGCCTTCGGCAAACGCATATCGATCCTCCTCCAGCAACTACAACGATGTTTCTCGGCGATGATATCACGTACACTACCCTAGTCGAGATATTGTCACTCTGCAAAGACATCACCAACCTTTCCATAGCGTCCGTCGACGACGACTTCATTCGTGACCTCACAAATCTGCATCACGTACTGGAACCCCCTCCCCCTCACGGTGCTTTGTTTAAACCTCAGATTATCGCTGACTCACTCTTCCATGGTGATGGCGAACACGTTCGCTACATTAACGCATCTTGAGGTTGACGATAGGGAGATGCTTCGGTTTGTTTGATATGAACGCCTTCCCCAAGTTGACCCACCTGGCGCTTTTGTTCGTCGTCTATAACCCAGGAGTGGACGTCCCTGGCGTTGTGAAGCGTCTTCTCCAACACGCAACCCTGCAAGTCCTTGTATTCCGTGTCGATGGTCACAGCGAATGTGCAACGTTCCTGGAACCCCATGGAATCGTGGATCGTCGCATCATCATCGGACCTTCAAGAACGTTTGTATGGGATGATTTTGGACATGGCGACATGCTACTATGGGAACTCGCTGATGACAGGGTCAACATGCCTGCCCCAAACCACAGTAAGTACATCTAGTTCAATCTGACATGGTTGATTCAAGTGACAAAATCACACAAAAAAGCACCGCTGCTTCTCTAACAGCATGTTTGAAAATAGATTCAGGGATTATAAGGGGCTTCCTCCTCGATTTCCTGAACGCGATGTGGACCGTGGGTTCAGAAAATATCTTGGACCTGGGGATTCATCGGATTGAGCTGTGCGATCCGGTCTCATGCGCAATGATTCCAGTGACGAGGAGACGGAGGTGTATTCTAATGACGATGACATAGAAGAGGATTCTGTACAATACATAAGTTTGATACCTAATATTCAAACACGTATGGCAGTATATTCATGTAGAGTAGCCGCACCAAAATACACTTACAATCCATGTCATCAGAATGAAGCTCTGCAATTGAAAAACTATGGGCTCTTTGTGCTGTCCGTCAGCAATAACAGTCTCAAATTTGTGGCGGTCATAAATCTTGTGCGCATGGAAAAATCCAAACTTTTCTTCTGCGTTTCGTGTGCAAGGGCAGCGTTTATGACTGATAAATTATAACATGCGCTCGCTCCATCTGGCCACTAATGAAGCATGTGCGCAATGTGATTTATCACGCCCTGAGCCACACCCACTCCATGCATACCAGCATGGGGTCACTTCTCAGCAGCAGACAGCTGCGAGCCCTTGAGTTGCGAGTCGGGCAGCCACACAAAGAGGTCATGTTTTGGCTGAATAGATACAGCATGAACGATCCTCGACTCGTGCTGTTACACACCAGATTGGGTCAGACGAGCCAGTTAGGACAGGGAGACATGTTGGTCGGGAGTGGTCGAGGAAAGATCACAATTTCCACTACCAAAGGAAGGTATGTAGCTCTATTCAATGGTTTTTCGACAAAGCCTGAGTAATTACCGGGGAAGGGCATCGGTGTTTGTTAATCAACAAGCTAAGAAATCGCTACGCAGAACATGATGACGTTGAGGGGAGATTCGACACGAAGTCGTGCTCCCAGGCAATCCCAGGGAAACAACTGCGAAGGTATGTGTGCCAAACTTGTTTAATGCGCCTCACAAATACAACTACCAATAGGCGAAAAGATGATGTGGAGATGGAATCAACTTATATCGGTCAGAAGAAGTCGCGTGCTCGAGTGCACCGAGAGGATAGTTTCCAGTCAATGACACCGGCAAGAACGAAAAACTGCTTCTCCCTCAGGATGAATGCACGATATCACCGCAGCCATCAAGCCAATGATGGCGAAACACATTGCGAGTGACAACCGCGCTGCTCCTAAAACACTACCTTGCATGCGAGACAACACGTATCTACAGCAAGTGGATTCAGGGATAGTATTAGTATTTTGTAGGAGTTGCAACTCAGTGGTCTACTCACCTCAGTGCGCGCAAGTAACCATTCCCTAGTCGACGCTCCTGCTGACTGAGACGTCGAAAGAGATTCAATGGCGGCCATTACTGGCACTTACAAAGTAGCGTCCCAAGCGCCAACTCAAAAGGAAAATGCCTCATAGACTCCAACTGACACTTAAGGGTCGTGAGAAATTGGTGAAGGAGTTATGGGGGTAAAAAACATCAGATCTCATTCCCTCATCATATACAGTGGGCTTCCAGGACTCCCACTGTGTATGGGGGTCAAAACGTCGGATCTCATGCATGCATGACTTAGAAAACCTTGGCAGAGCACAAGTCCGCAAACCGATTCACTCTAAGGAGCTTGAGGTATGAGCAAGCTGCATACTTTGATTAGTTTCTTGCAGAGCCTGCAGTACCTGTTTACATTCTGAAATATACTGACAGGACGAAGGTTGAAGGAGGCTTATCGATCATCGATCATCTATTCCACAAACGCTGAAGCCTTTATGATCGGATTGATCCAACATGAGTATTTCATGCGGAGCTTATTCCATTTATTCCCGACTAGTCAAAGATGTTGGTTTTTTATCTTTTTCATTATACACAGTGGGCTTCCAGGACTCCCACTGTGTATGGGGGTCAAAAATAGTGGATCTCATTCCCTCATCATATACAGTGGCCTTCCAGGACTCCCACTGTGTGGGGGTCAAAAACATCGGTTTTTATTCTCTCATCATATACAGTGGGCTTCCAGGACTCCCACTGTGTATGGGGGTAAAAACATCAGATCTATTCTCTCATCATATACAGTGGCCTTCCAGGACTCCCACTGTGTATGGGGGTAAAACACATCAGATCTCATTCTCTCATTGTACACAGTGGGCTTCCAGGACTCCCACTGTGTATGGGAGTCAAAAACATCAGATCTCATTCTCTCATACACAGTGGCCTTCCAGGACTCCCACTGTGTGTGGGGTCAAAAACATCGGTTTTCATTCTCTCATACACAGTGGGCTTCCAGGACTCCCACTGTGTTGGGGGTAAAAACATCAGTTTTCATTCTCTCATTGTACACAGTGGCTTCCAGGACTCCCACTGTGTATGGGGTAAAAACATCAGATCTCATTCTCTCATCACCACAGTGGCCTTCCAGGACTCCCACTGTGTATGGGAGTCAAAACATGGATTCATTCTCTCATCATCCACAGTGGCCTTCCAGGACTCCCACTGTGTATGGGGTCAAAAACATCGGATCTCATTCTCTCATCATCCACAGTGGCCTTCCAGGACTCCCACTGTGTGTGGGGGTCAAAAACATCGGATCTCATTCTCTCATCATCCACAGTGGCCTTCCAGGACTCCCACTGTGTATGGGAGTCAAAAACATTGGATC